GGGTGGGGAGAATCTTTCAATGCAGGTGGGCGGGGCACAGGAGTTGATTAGAATTGGGCAAGGATCAAGATATAATAGTTTAGGATTGGAGGGCACAGCAAGGATTTTGAGGCCAGCAGTTCTAAGAGTCTTGGAGTGTACAGAATTGTCAAATGATACTTCCTATTGAAAAGCTGATGGTTCTTTTAGGAAGTTCTTAAAATGAACAATGGAGTTATTTGCATTTTTAACTTACAGGCAAGAGTGTTAATAGTTGTCATATTAACATAGACAGTAAGCTGTGTGTGTGTAGGAGGTGTCAGTTCTCAGTGCTTTTAAGAAAGCTAATAAGTAAAATTAATGGAAATATATCCAAGATTCTAAGGTCACCCCTGTAGATAAGAGTTTTAAATGGAAGAGTATTTTGGTAACTCAGAAGGTGATCTGAACTTTCAGTAGAAACCCCACTCCCAGGTTTACTCATCATTTCCCACCATCCTTTCATCTCAGTTGAGTGCCACCAGTCTTGTGAGAAGGCAGGATTAAGAATGCTCATTCTCCTGCCTGAAACCTCAAGTGGCTTCAGGGGCATAAATCCCTGGTTAGATGACATGGAAAACTTTCTCTCTAGATTTAGACAGATGCTACTCCTTGGAGAAGGGGCACTTCTGAATTTAACCTTCCATAGACAGCATGTTCAGTGTTAAGAAATAATTATCCTGGGCTTCCCTGGTGGCGCAGTGGTTAAGTATACGCCTGCCAATGCAGAGGACACGGCTTCGAGCCCTGGTCTGGGAAGATCCCACATTCCACAGAACAACTAAGCCCATGCACCATAACTACTGAGCCTGTGCTCTAGATCCCGTGAGCCACAACTACTGAATCCTGCGCCTAGAGCCCGTGCTCCGCAACAAGGGAAGCCACCACAATGAGAAGCCCGCGCACTGCAACAAAGAGTAGCCACCACTCGCTGCAACTAGAGAAAGCCCGTGTGCAGCAATGAAGACCCAATGCAGCCAAAAATAAAAATAAATAAAATAAATAATTTTTTTAAAAAAGAAATAATTATCCTGACACTTGATAAAACAGTAAAAGAGACTTTAACCAGGACTACTGCAATAGGGGGGAGAGATTGCACTAAACTCCAAATACAATAAGGACAAGTGGATAGAAAATTACTAAGAGGAGACATCAAGGGTGGGGGAATTGTTGCTAAACCTACTTACAGGATTCTTGCTGAAGGCAGGCCAGGGTTTGATCAGATATCAAGGGTGGGGAATTTTCTCTAAACTGACTTAGCAGGATTCTTGCTGAGTTTATTCTTACTCCGATTAGGAAGAGCACTACATTAACAGAGTTAACACTAAAGAATCATTTCTTTCTGGAGGGGTAATGATGAAACACAAACTGGGCTACCCAGGGAGGTTGCTGGGTCTCCTTTAGGGGCAAGTGGGAGGCATGATTAAATGACAAAGAGATGCTCATCTATAAGACTCTTAGTCAAGTATTACGTGGAGCCGGAGAAAAATGAAGATGACCTCTCAATGGCCCTTCAAATGTACGGAGCTTTCACTCAGGTCTAAAAGAAAAAAAAAAATTTTTTTTAAAGAAGGAAAATGGCTCTTTCTAGTGAAAGAAGTAGGCTCCTTGGGATGTGATCTTTGCTCCGGACTGGGGAAAACCATACAGGGCTGCGGAGCAACCCTGGGGCCCAGTCACCTAAACACTACAAGTCCCCAGAAGCACCGCGGTGAGGGCGGGGCTTGCTGACCGTTACGACGTAGCGGGCGGGGTCAGACGGGACCGCTCTGCCCTGGGTTTTCAGCCCCGCCCCTATCCCTTTCCCCGCCCTGTTGCTGTGGCGCCGCCGCTGGCTGCAGCTCTTGGTGAGTACCTGGAATGAAGGTGGGCAATTAGGGACAGTTGGGCCCTTGGGTTCCCCGACTTCACACATCCAGTCCTGAGAAAGGGCCATGGGCGGGCAGTGGTGCGGCTGGTTTCGGTTTTAACCTCCTTCCATCTTTCTAGGGTGACCGTGAGAGTGGCGTCATGGGGCCCCTGGAGCCGCTCCGCGGCCTTGGAGGGTTGAGGGCTGTTTTCTCCCCGAGGAGGGCAGGGCTTCAGTGCCCGGGGCCGGGTGGGCGGCTCCTGGGGCAGAAGGAACCCTCCGACCCGAGTGAGGGTCTTGAAGTCACGGCGTCATGCCCCCGCCTCTCCGGCCGAGGTCGTGCTGGTTCCTTAATCCCCGTGCTTGACGTCATTGGTGGCTGTGGCCGAGGGCGGACCTTGCCCTTTCACCCTAGGCAAGTTACTTTCTCTTTGGGCCTCAATTTCCCAGTCTTGATCCCTCAAGCCCCCTTCCTTCAGTTGAGGCCGTTTGTAATTGGAGATGTTCTAGACGACCGAGAAGAAAGAGCACTTGGGGTGCGGTGACCTGCTTCTTTACCGTTGATCTCCGGTAGCCCCTCCCTCCCCACCATCCCCCCCCATCTTTCCCCCCGACCCAATTTAGTTTGGGGCTAATGTTCCCACTCTATTGTGATTTCAACCCCTCCTGGACATTTAAACTTTTTTTCTATCACTTGGATTCTTTGCTTCTGATGTAAGCCAACAAGTGGCCATGGTTGGAGCTGAGTAGAATACAAAAGCTATGTATTATAACATCTGCACTATTGCAAAAACTGTTAAAAGCAAAAGACTTTTAATACAATAGGTCTTTGTAGATTATGTAGAGCACATGATTAAGGAATATCCAGGTGAGTCACTTTCACAGATACTTTCAGAGGGCCTCTGTTTGAAACTCTACCCTTTTGCAGAAATGACAGCTGTGGAGTGGAAAGGACCCTAAGAAAGGTAGTAAGAGTTACGTAACACTAACAAGTCATGTGGTCTTTGGAGTCAGATAGTACAAATAGGGCTCTTTAAAATTTTTGACTGTGCTTATTAATATAATACCATGCTTTCTCATTTTCGTAGATGAAAAGACAGTTAAACTCTTTCATTTCCTTTTTCCTTCACTTGGGATCATCATTATAGCTGGAAAGTTCCTTAGAGATTTTCTTGCCTGATCCATGTGTTTTACAGATGAGGAAACTGAGGCCTAAAAAGAGGTAGTGTGACTTGGCCAAGATCTCAGAGCTAGTTAGTGGCAGAACTAAGACAGGAACCCAGGTCCCTTGTCTCCTAGCTTAGTCCCCTTTCTACTACACTTCAAACACTGTCACTACCCAGGTCACTTCAAGCATTAGCAGAATCACCCTTTTCACAGAAAAAGTATAAAATCTCAGTAAAGTAAAATGGAATAAAATGGAGATTTAGTCCACAGCTTTGAGCTTTTCGCAGTTTCTCCTGGTTGCCCAGAACAGTTTTTCTGTTCTTCCCTAGTACTGTTGGCACTGTGGTGTTGTGGTATGTGGGATGAAGGCTGCTTAGAATAAGCCGGGCAACTAATCCAAACAGTTGTTACTGAATTAGGTATTAAAAGTCTCCTAGGGGTACAAAATTTACTTAAGGCACTGGAAATATTTTAGGTAAGGAACTGGAAAGAACTTGGAAAATTTGGATTAGAGCAAGTGGCTCTCATAATTTGAGTACCAGTGACTATGTGTCTGTGCTTTTTCTCCCCGTCTCAGGGCCATCTACACATCCATAATATCTATTGTCAGTGTTCTCTAAAGGGTAGTTTTGTGGAAGCATCTATTCCAGGGCCAGGGGGAGTGGAACTCAAATCAGTTCATCCATTTTGCTAATTGCTAGTAGTTTAGAAACTTAAGTAAGCAGAAGAATGAAGGAATTAGGTTGAATGTGTGTTTATTTTTTACTTATTTTTGTTTTTACTGTTCCCAAATGAAGAACTGATTGGCATTTCTCTCTCGGCTGTGGATTCATTTGGTTTCCTTCTGTGAACTGATCCAGAGAAACTTACCTATAGTCTTCACTTCTCTTGAAACATGTGCCCACTGGTATAAAAGGCTAATGTAAAAATGTTGGGCATTCTTTGTGCTAGAACTTTAGTTTTTGTTGCTGTCGTTTTATAAGGTTATTCTTTGTGGTTCAGCACACATGAGGAAAAATCTTTAGGAAAATTGATGAGTTGATTTGGTTGAATATTTGCACTGTTAGAACCTAAACCAGAAAGCTTAAAAAAATAAAAACGACAGAAAGCTTAACATTTTTCAATTTTTCTGCTAAAAAGCGTATCAGCGTAGTTTACAGATTCATTAAGAAAGAGCAGGAGTAGAACTGGCCTTTTGTTCCTTTAGGAGAATATAAGAGAATCTATGCCCTCATGGAACAGTCCTGGGAGTACTGTATTAGACTTGAGAAGCTCATTAGATGAAAATGTGTCAGGTTTTCTTAGAAGCCAGGAGCCAGTTCAGGAGACTCATTTTAAGATATATTGCCTATTATTGCCTGCCTCCTCTGAGGACCCTAATCATTTTGGAAACTGAGCTGGAAAAAAAGAAAAGGTAACAACTGTGTCAGAGTCCAAGTAAAGTGCCTCTGACATTTTGTGGAATCTCTGCATTATTTTCCCATGTTTGATGGTTTGTTTTCTGTTTTTGGTTTTGGTTTTTTTTGCGGTATGCGGGCCTCTCACTGTTGTGGCCTCTCCCGTTGTGGAGCACAGGCTCCGGACGCACAGGCTCAGCGGCCATGGCTCACGGGCCCAGCCGCTCCGCGGCATGTGGGATCTTTCCGGACCGGGGCACGAACCCGCATCCCCCGCATCGGCAGGCAGACTCTCAACCACTGCGCCACCAGGGAAGCCCTGATGGTTTGTTTTTAAATTTTTCTATTTGTTTTCCCTGGTCACTCGTTATATGGCCAGTCTTTGATTTGAGGGTAGGAGTAAGGAATTAAGTGGAATACCATTCCATGACTTCTAGGGAGCCTAATTCATCCCGCTGCTTTTTAATGACTCTAGGTTTCTAAATTTAACATTTGCTCTTTTTGTATTTCTTCTCTCTTCCTTGTCTCTGTGGATATTGCCAGAATTAGAAGTGGATGGTGGACAGGTTCTATAGTGGGAAGAGTGGTTAAAAGAGGGGAGCTGATGCTTAAATCATTCTAATTTTCCTTCCGCATCCTTCCTGCCCGCCCCCGCCACAAACAGTCATTTCTAGACTGCTTTGTCAGAAAGACAATTTCCCAAACCATTGTTGGAGCCCATTTCTCCCAGGGAATTTTATCGCTGGGAGGGAGGATAAGCTTTAAGGATCACTGACCTTAAAAATCTGTAGATAGCTTCCTTCCAGGAAAAGTTGAATGAGATACCTCCTCACTGACCCAGTTCAGATTGACATGGTTATGCTCTAGGTTTACCCATGGCCTTTTCTAAAAGTCGTCTGCTTTGGTAAGAAGCAGAAAAGCCACTATTTTTCTTCACTCTACCTCCTCAAACCCTTCTGCAGTCTTGGCAGAAGAGTTTTTTATTTCAAGGATGATTGAGTTCCAAACACCCAGAGTGCCATTGGGTGCCCCCTGAGTCCTTCTGGGAATGTGATGAGATCTCTGAAATGGGAAACTTCATGGAGTCTCTTACATTTTTGATAAGCAAAGAACCAAGGTTGTTGACTTTTCCAGACAGATGTTAGGTTTTCAGATGAATGACAAGAGATAAAGTTTCCATTGGCTGTACACTCAAGCCTCAGAATATGAGCTCTTTCATGTCATTTTGTGTATGTATGCTGTCCTTTCTTCAGTGAGATTCTTTCAGGTTCTCAGTTCCCCAACCAGAGGTTGAACCCGAACCACAGCAGTGAAAGCCCAGAATCCTAGCCGCTAGGCAACCAGGGAACTCCCTCCTCACCCTATTTTAGAAAAGAGAAAGCTGAGAAACAGCAGCTTCTCCAAAGGTACCCAACAAATTAAGAGCAGGGCTAGAGATAATAATTAGCCCCGCCATCATTCACACCATTGTTTACCTACAAAGCCCCTTCCTTTCACTTTTTGATGAATTGCATATGTATCTTATTCATTCATTTATTCAATGAGTAAGTACTATGAGTACATAGCAATAAGTGATTGCTATGGGCTAGGTGTTTTGTTGTATATATAGTGGTGATAGTGTTATGAAGGAAAAGAACAGGGAGTATGATGGTATTTAGGTTAATTGAGAGACAGGCCCTGAATTCACTCTTACCTGAGTGTTCTCATGATTCACAGTAAAGGACGGATTAAGTCACATGCTCAGATACATGGTGCTCCAGGCTTAGAACACAGGGGCTATGCTGGCCTCAGTGTGACTGAAGACCACTAGGAAAGACAGGGGTCTGTGAGCTGAGAAACCTCCCTGCCCAACCTCCCACAGCATCCAACAGATCAGTAGTCAACGGCTTATCATGAGGAACAAGTACTGGCCTAGACTGGAATGTGACCTCTTTCTTCCTTAGAAAAACCGATCTGAGGGGCTTCCCTGGTGGCGCAGTGCTTGAGAGTCCGCCTGCCGATGCAGGAGACGCGGGTTCGTGCCCCGTTTCGGGAAGATCCCACATGCCGCGGAGCGGCTGGGCCCGTGAGCCATGGCCACTGAGCCTGCGCGTCCGGAGCCTGTGCTCCGCAAATGGGAGAGGCCACAACAGTGAGAGGCCCGCATAACGCAAGGAAAAAAAAAAAAAACCGATCTGAGGTTTGAGGTTGAGGATGTGGCCAAACTGTGTCACAAACCAGAAAGCTAGTACATTTCTTAGTTCCTTAGCTCAGTCTCGAGAACAGACAGTTCAGTGCCTCAAAGTCCTCTTACCTTCTCTGAAAAAATTGACTTCTGGGGGAGCTGGAAAAGGAGGCCTGTTTGCTTAGAGTTCAAAATAAAACCAGGAAATAAGTGGGGTGGGGCAGAGCTAGAAGAGCTACTGTGTTTTTTTGGTTATTGTACTTACTATTTTTTTAAGGTGTGTGTGTGTGTTTGTGTACAATCTTCCAACACGTTCTAACAGCTGAATTTGTAAGATACCATGTAGTAGTATTTGCAAATGTACAGCTCTTTCTTCATCTGCTGTGTAGAGCTGCAGTATTGTTTTCATTTCCCAGTAGAACTCTGGGTTGAGAAACATAGACTCACTAAATGCATTTAGAAGACAGGGCATGTGGCTTTTGAGGGGCAGGAAGTATCAGGTCCCAGCAATTCAAAAGACTTTGTTTCTTTTGTGTATTGTTCTTATCTCCCCAGTAGTTCCCATCCTTGATCACATTTTATCCGTACTATGACCTAGAAAGGTGAAATACAGCTTACTATCCCCATTTTATAGATAGGAATCCAAACTTGCTTGCTGTCCTCCATGGGCTGCATTTTTCCGTTTCTTTGCTTTTATGCATGCTGCTTCATTCATCTGGAATTTCCTCACCCCCAAACACATTTGTCAGAATTCTAATCTTCCTTGAGGGCTTATCTAGGATTCTACTCCTCGAAGCTTTTCTTAATTTTCCTAATCAGTTTCATCTCTCTCTCTTTTGAACCCAAGAGCGTTTTGCACTTATACCTATTTGGCAGTCACTTAAATTCTCATCTAACCTCCATATCGGATTGGGACTCTTTTGAGGGCAAAGACTGACAGAAAAGAAAAAAAAACACAAACGTAATAGTCACTAACATCTGTTAAACCCTCTCTTTATCCAGACTTTGTGCAAGTGCTTTATTCTGTCACTCAGCCTTTACTTTGTGTGAATTGCCTACTCTATGGCAGGTACTGATTTAAGGACTAGACACTGTACATTGTAGGCATACCTATCTGCTTCACAGATGCTATTTTTTCTTTTTTTTTTTTTTTTTTTTTTTTTTTTGCGGTACGCGGGCCTCTCACCGTTGTGGCCTCTCCCGTTGCGGAGCACAGGCTCCGGACGCGCAGGCTCAGCGGCCACGGCTCACAAGGCCAGCCACTCTGCGGCATGTGGGATCTTCCCGGACCGGGGCACAAACCTGTGTCCCGTGCATCGGCAGGCGGACTCTCAACCTCTGCGCCACCAGGGAAGCCCACAGATACTATTTTTTTTTACAAAATTGAAAGTTTGTGGCAACCCTACCTTGAGCAAGTCTGTTGGCGCCATTTTTCTAACTGCATTTGCTCACTTCATGTCTCTGTGTCACATTTTGATAGTTCTCACAATATTTCAGACTTTTTCATTATTATTATATTTGTTACGGTGCTCTGTGATCAGTGGTCTTTGATGTTACTTATGGAAGTTTTTGGCATTTTTTAGCAATAAAGTATTTTTTAATTAACGTATGTACATTTTTTTAGACATAATGCTACTGCACACTTAATAGACTACAGTATAGTGTAAACATAACTTTCATACGCACTGGGAAACCAAAAAAACTGTGTGACTTGCTTTATTGAGGTATGTGCTTTATTGAGATGGCCTGGAACTGAACTTGCAATGTCTCCGAGGTATGCCTGTGTTTCAATTAATGCTCACAAAAAGAAAGAATGAGGTAGATGTTATTAGCCCCATTTTACAGATGAGGAACCATGCGCAGAGTCGAGTTAAGTAAATTACCCAGGGGCATGCATTTAATAGGTGATGAAGCTGGAATTTGAACTCCAACATTTTGATTTCTGAACCCATGCTCGTCACCACTGCATGTCAAATAATCTCCTTCTCTCATCCCTCTTTCTTTCTGCACCCATCCCCAGCTCCTAGCAGAGTGCCTTAATATATAGAAGGACCCGATAATTACAGGATAAATGAAATTGAATAGAGAAGCTGAAATCTAGAGAAATTGACATTCCAAAAGTCACAGGGCTTGTTGGAATGAAAAATCTAGAATCTAAGTCTTAACAGTTCCCAGCTCAGGAACCTTTAGGCTGCCTTACTTAAGGCATTTAGAGGAAGGGGAGCAAACTAGATGTGAGCAGAGAACAAGGGTATGTGAGGGTGGTGGTGCCTGTGGTGAAGAGGTCACAGAGACTCAGAAAATTCTTACAGCACAGGAAGTTATGAATGCAAAGTGGCTCATAGTGAAACCGAAAGCAAGTTGTGTGATCTCAATACTTGTCAGGGTTTTGCTTTAACTGACTTGCCCCGAGCTGAATGTTCCCTGGGTGAGAGCCCAGAAATTTCCAGCATTTCAGACAACCCTTTTTGAGCCTTATTCTATCCCATATCTCATAACAGGACCCCTACCATGGAAGAGACAATAGAAGATCCCCCCACATCAGCTGTCTTGCTGGACCATTGTCATTTCTCTCAGGTCATCTTTAACAGTGTGGAGAAGTTCTACGTCCCTGGAGGGGACATCACATGCTATTACACCCTCACCCAGCATTTCATTCCCCGTCGAAAGGATTGGATTGGCATCTTTAGAGTAAGTGGTTAATTTAGTACCGAGTGACTGGGAACTGGAGGTGCATCTTAGTTACCTGAGTGTGTGTCTGTCTCTGTATTATAAGCATTTTGCATATATGTGTGGCCAATGTTAAAATCCTAAACTAAGCTCCCTAGCACTTCTCCCTACACACACCAGCATGTGCTGTAGGACTCAAATTTTAATTTCAGTCTTAAGCTAAAATAAGATAGCAAATCATACAATCCACAAGTTTTATTACACTTTCAAAGACCAAATGTAAATGTTTTTTAAATTATCCTATTTTGAAATATTCATCTATGACTTGACTGGGGTAGGTGGCCCCTTATATAATTTCTGTGAATTTAAACATCACTTGCTTACTTAGTACAGTGTTTAATTTGTTTTAATATAAGTATTACAAATATGGAAAGGATGTTGAAAATTTACCTTGTCCTATATCTTGCATCCAAGAATTTTGTTCCTGAGTAAGCGTGTCTTGCTTCTTTGTGAAGATTTCCAAGAACGGAAAGTTTATGAGTTCCCTCGGTTTCCTCTTCCAGTGTCTAATCGCCCTGTCAGTTCAAGTACAGAAATGGTACTTTTTATTATAGTCAACTTACTCTCTAGCTCCTCTTCTTTCCCCCTCTGTATCTCTGTCTCTGACATCCCCTCACACACAAACACACACATACATACACACTCTCACTCATTCACTTACTCACACACCATAATGACAGATCGTCCTATTTACAGAGACAGAGATAAAGGTCAAACGTAAGTAACTTACACTGCTGAGTCCCAACATAAGTGACCTTTGTTTTGACACCTCAGTATGTCATGTGCTTGATTACCAATGCTGTTCATCCTAAAATCAGACATCGTTCTTGAGTGCACTGTGTAGGAGCTGATGCTAATTCACATTTCCTCATCGAATTCCTTTTCCTTAATTGTTTGGAATTCCAAGCTAAGTGATAGAACGATGGAAGCTGGAGGTAACAAGGCTGGTGTTTAGAGGTGGGGGTAGTGGACAACCGGAGGGACAGCCGGAGCAACTTCCAGTGAGGACTTCACTCTAAACCAGATGAGAGTCTTATGCTTTTTATTTATTTTTTATTTATTTATTTATTTTAATTAATTAATTTATTTTTGGCTGTGTTGGGTCTTCGTTTCTGTGCAAGGGTTTCTCTAGTTGCGGCGAGCGGGGGCCACTCTTCATCGCGGTGTACAGGCCTCTCACTATCGCGGCCTCTCTTGTTGTGGAGCACAGGCTCCAGACGTGCAGGCTCAGTAGTTGTGGCTCACGGGCCTAGTTGCTCCGCAGCCTGTGGGATCTTCCCAGACCAGGGTTCGAACCCATGTCCGCTGCATTGGCAGGCAGATTCTCAACCATTGCGCCACCAGGGAAGCCCAGCAGGTGTATTCTTAACCACTGTACCACCAGGGAAGTCCCGAAAGTGTTATTCTTTTTAAAAACAAATGTTTAAAAGCATTGTTTTTAAATGCATCTATACTTCATTCATTTCAGAGGTATTGTGTACCACAATAAGGAAATTGTGGTTAACCCAGAGAATGGCCTCTGATGTTCATTGTCCACAAAGCTGTTGATTTGAACACCTACCTTAAAGTGTGCAAGCAAAGTTTAAGACTAATAAAGAGAGAACACAAACTTTTTGAGAACATATGATGTGCTAGGTCTTTGATGAGGTGTGTGTGTGTGTGTGTGTGTGTGTGTGTGTGTTTTCTAATTTAATCCTTACAGCACAGCAGCCCCCTGAGGTAAGTAGTAGTATTGCTTGTGCACAGATGAATAAAGTGAATGTACTCAAGATGGTGACCTTCCCAAGGTCTCCTAGCGGTGAAGCAAGTTTGTTTGACTCCCAAACCTCTGCTTTTCTTCCTCTTTTCTGCTGAATTCCTTTGAACAACAGATGGTCAGTTGGAGAATTAAGGGCTGACTGTAAAGTTGTGTACTTCCTAGCTCACTTCTAAAGTGCTCCTGGTGTTCTTGCAGTGTAGTCTTAATCATACCCCTCAACTCCTCATCTGCCCTAACAGCACTGGTTCCCAGCACCAAGTAGGCACTCACAAAATGTTTCTGCACGTGCAATATGCTACATCTTCTCCATAGAGTGAAAGCTACCACCAGTGATAAAGCCTAAAGTGGATGGGAGTTAGCTTTTCTTCCTTCAATGTAGAGCCCTGTGCTCCATACTCTCCTTTACCCGGGCATTTATGCGATGTTCCAAGGTTCCGGGGAGGGGAAATGTCATAGCACAAGAGGCAGGCTGCGACTAGGACTGCTCAGATGGAAGAGCCAAGGACAGAAATTGCAGGTGGCTAGAAGTTGCTTCCTTGTTCCAAGGCAGCAGTAATTCTTAGGCCTTCCTAGATGATATTTTGGTCACAGTGCATTAAGAAACTCTAGGATGTGAATGAAGACTCCATAAAATTCCTGCTTCCTGTACCTCCACAGGTTTCAGTGGCCTAGAGGTGCTTACAGCAATGGCGTGGGTGTTAATGAGACACTAAAACATGCCCTAGTATGTGTGATGCACTTACAGCCTTTTCATCCCTGCTCTGATTCCTTAGTATATGAACATGGAATTTATTTTTAGTTCTTTTTCTTCCCACTGGGCTCAGGCAGGGTCACAATATGGCAATAAATGTAATTTTGCTTATTTGCTGAGTATTCTCGCCTTGAAGACACAATGGCTCCTTTTCTATTCTCCGGTATACTCTTATCTTCCAGATAGGATTTGAGCCGTCTTTTACCCCTCTTCACATTTAATGAGAATATTTTCCACTTAGCCAGCTTTCTGCTCTGAGGCATATTTTACAGTATCCTTATATCTTATGACTTACTGCATTCCATACCTAGAAGGGGCCTTTATGACTACCAGATTGTTGTTGTTATCTTTATCACCAGAAAGCCTTCATTAAACATATGCATTAAGAAAAACACTGAAGAAAGAAAACTCTACCGATTGGGCTCAGTTATCTGGTACCTCATAGTCTAAGACACTCTTGCATCCAACCCCAACACACACATTATTTTTAAAATGCACTTTTAGGGGCTTCCCTGGTGGCGCAGTGGTTGAGATTCCGCCTGCCAATGCAGGAGACACGGGTTCGTGCCCCGGTCCGGGAAGATCCCACATGCCGCAGAGCGGCCGGGCCCATGAGCCATGGCCGCTGAGCCTGCGCGTCCGGAGCCTGTGCTCCACAACGGGAGAGGCCACAACAGTGAGAGGCCCGCGTACTGCAAAAATAAATAAATAAATAATAAAATAAAAATTAAATTAAATTTAAAAATAAAAAAGTAAAATGCACTTTTAAACGCAGTGATATAACCGGGTTGGTATAGGTGACAAGACTGAATTGGACACAGGAGAGGATGAACCAGTGGAGAGGGCAGATCAGAAGTGCTTTTTGATTAAGAAGTTCCAGGAACACTGTTGTAGGAAAATAGCAGTATCAAGGTTCACAATCCCACAACTTTTTTCCCAATCACTCTCAGTTCTATGTCTGACTTGGAGATACAATATTTGGAACTCTTGTCCTGGGTGTTGAATGGCCAGTTTTTGTTTCCTTCTAAGACAAGTAATTTAGACTGTGTGTGTGCATACCAGTTTTTAATTGTATATATAGTTATCATAAGTCAAAAAACAAGATTTATTCCATTGTGGGTAGATCTTATCATAATGAACTTACTCTATTGTAAAATCAACATAACAAAAAGTGCATTTTAAGAAGACATGGCCCAAACCTGAGCACTTTCAGATGCTGAACAAGAGCCTCTTGTCATTGCAGGTGGGATGGAAGACAACCCGTGAGTACTACACCTTCATGTGGGTTACTTTGCCCGTTGACCTAAACAGCAAATCTCCCAAACAGCAGGAGGTTCAATTCAAAGGTGAGAAAAATACTGGATCAAAGGTAGAAGACAGCTAGCAGCCAAGACTAATTAATTCCCTTGAGCTTGAGCTTTCTGGGTAGATAAAAGACTTCCGGGCTTCCCTGGTGGCGCAGTGGTTGAGAGTCCGCCTGCCGATGCAGGGGACGCGGGTTCGTGCCCCGGTCCGGGAGGATCCCGCATGCTGCGGAGCGGCTGGGCCCGTGGGCCATGGCCGCTGGGCCTGCGCGTCCGGAGCCTGTGCTCCGCGACGGGAGAGGTCACAACGGTGAGAGGCCCGCGTACCGCAAAAAAATTAAAAAAAAAAAAAAAGACTTCCAAATTTTTAGTTTTCTGAATAGACCTTATTTTGGATTAAAAATCATGTTCTGTTTTCAGCTTATTACCTGCCCAAGGATGATGAGTATTACCAGTTCTGCTATGTGGATCAGGATGGTGTGGTCCGGGGGGCAAGTATCCCTTTCCAGTTCTGTCCAGAAAATGAGGAGGACATCCTGGTTGTTACCACTCAGGTCTGTAAGCATCTCATCTCAGTCCCTTCCTGCCGCTAAGAGTAGCAATTCCAGGATAGGGTAGAATTTTAGTCAGTAAGCCTTTATTGAATGTCTAACAGATAACTGTTGGGAAAATTTTATACAGTACCCATTCAAACCCACCATTCCTAAGGGAATAACTTAGGAATGTTAACAAGAATCATAACAATAAGTGATTTCTCCTTTCTCTAAACCTTCTGTAAGTCAGTTGACATTCAGTTATTTAACTTTCCCAGTTACTTAATTTTTGTCATCTGCACATCTTATCACCATAGTAAATTTTATAAGTTCCTTTGAGGAGAGACACACCAGATTTTCTTCTTTGTATCTCTCAGATTCATTTGCTTACTCAGTTATTTAACAGGATACCTACTTCCATCCAACACTCTGGTAGGCACTAGGGATGTGGTGAAGAATCAATTAAAACCCTGTCCCGGTCTCAAGGAGCTAAGTCTGAGAGGAGAGACAAACAATATTAAGTGTTTGCAAGAAAAAACTCTATTCTTTTGTCATTACCACCTTTTAACTTTTTGTGGCCTTAATTTTGTTTATCTTTCTTTCTTGGTAATGGCAGCCTCAATGCTGCAATTATACAGACACACCTCTCTTACCCCCCTTCCCTACATACTGAGGGGCTGCTTCCACTTGGGGTACACAGATGTCACTACAGTGAGGGGGAATCAGCTAGACCCTAACCATCCCAGCCTATGGGAATTTTCTGCTAGAGGGACTTGAATATCCATTAAGCTATAAAGGGCCAAACATGAGTTTATGGAACGTTCTTTCGTAGGGTGAGGTGGAAGAGATTGAGCAACACAACGAGGAGCTCTGCAGAGAAAACAAGCAGCTGAAGGACAGCTGTGTCAGCCTCCAGAAGCAGAACGCAGACATGCATGCTAGGCTCCAGAAGAAGCAGGTATGGCTGCTGGTTAAAGGTGAACTTGGAGGATGGAGATCAGAATCATTTCCTGTTTTTCTTGTGATCTCACGCCCCTATACTAATATCTGGCACAGATTTTAGTATATTAGAGATTTCCTTTTTATTGTTTACATATTGAAATGATATTTTCATTTAATGAATTAAGTACATATACTATTAGGAAAATAATTTCATCTATTTCTTTTTAATTTTTTTAATGTTGCTACTAAAATTTTTAAATTATGTATGTGGCTCTCATGAATTAATTGGACAGCACGTTTCTAGGAGAAAAGCACCTTTATTTTGCCCACTGCTGTGTCTGCAGTGCCAGAACAGTGTCTGGTGTGTAATAGGCACTCATTAAATATTTGTTTAATGAATTAATGGACAAATATAAGCTCCACTAGAAGAGAAATTAGGTAGATGTATTTTTTCTTCCTTTTTTAAATTGAGTTGTAGTTGATTTACAATGTTGTGTTAGTTTCAGGTGTACAGGTATTTTTCCCATATAGGTTATTACAAAATATTGAGTATAGTTCTCTGTGCTATACAGTAGGTTCATGTTGGTTATTTATTTTATATATAGTAGTGTGTATAATGTTAATCCCAAACTCCTAAGATAGATGTATTTTTAATATGGAAAGAACATATTAAGAACATTTTCATATAGAAATCCTTTTACTTGGATATTTCATTCACTGCTGTGTCATGCTATATGCCTGACATATAATAAGTGCTCAATAAATATTTGTTGGCTGCCTGAGATGCTAAACACTGTCTTAGAAATGTTAAGTCCCTTTGATGTCTCAACCTACAGGAGGAGCTAGAAACCCTCAAGAGCATCAATAAGAAATTGGAACAGACAATGAAAGAGCAGAAGGACTGTTGGGAGACAGAGCTTCTTCAGTGAGTGTGACTCTTGAATGGGAGGAGCTGCTGTATTATAGACACCCTTAGGCAGGGTCAGGTTAGATTTTTAGAACAGTCTTCCTGTTATGACAGTGATAAGTATGATTCTCACTCTTTGATTCATGAGCTCTTTGATTCTAGGTTAGAGAATTAGTATCAGAATTGTAAGGACAAATGACCTGAATTCAAGTATTAACGTTAAGTATTGAACACTTGCAGTTTGAGGTCAGGAAGCCAAAATAGGACTGAAGAAGAGACTAGTGGGTTTAAAAATAACTCTGCAGGCTTAGGGCCAAGGCAGCCTTAAATCGTTTAAGGTCTGGGGGAGCTGACCTAGAATCAGTATTTTTTTTCACTTAGTCATCTCCACTTCCACAGGCTGAAAGAACAAAACCAGAAGATGTCCTCAGAAAATGAGAAGATGGGAGTCAGAGTGGATCAGCTTCAGGTAGGTAATGCCAAACCTTTGCCAAAGTATATTTTCTTAGCCTTGCCACCGCTCCACTGTGGTGGCCCAGGAAGATACAGCTCATTGTACCGAGTGCCTAGTGGTGGATCTCTCAGAGCATCACACTACAGTTTCAGGGTGTGTGTTTTCCGTTCTTGGCCCTCCACACCCTTTTTAACTTTTCTTTTAGCTACAGAATCTTTTCAAGCAAAATCTTACTAAAAAGCCTGGAATGTAAAGCAGGTAGCAGCAGAACTGCTCTCTTTTTTAGGAAGCTGTGCCTTGAAGAGGGGCTTTAAAGGGTGGTTTGTCAGATTTTACTCGGTTGAGTCTTAGATTCTCAGGTGTAAGGTAGAACTGAAGAGTGAAGAGGTTCCTAGGGATATTTGGCAGCTGGGAGTTGCTGGGGAACACACATCTCTCTATGTTACTGTACATTTAAAAGCTGTTCCTGCTTAGTTTTCCTTCTTTTTTATTTTGGTTGTATTCACTGTTTTTGCTTTAGGCCCAGCTGTCAACTCAAGAGAAAGAAATAGAGAAGCTTGTTCAGGGAGTTCAAGATAAAGCAGAGCAGTTGGAGGACCTGAAAAAGGAAAATGGCCAGCTCTTTCTCAGTTTAAGTGAACAGGTAGAGTCATGGAACAAAATATTTTTAGGCATTTGTGAAAAAATATATATATTGTTCTTTCTTTGCTCTATCGTATACCTGGGTGTCACTGGCTGCGGGAAAGGTCTCAGGGGAAGCCATCTGAAATGAGGTATCTAACGGCTTTTCTCAGAAACTAATAAGAGGAGACTTGCTTTTCTCTCTGCACCCTGCTCGCCCGTTAGCTTAGCAGGCCTTTCCCCAGCGCGTGCGCACATGTGCTCGTGCCTGTGCGTGTGTTTTCCCAGCAGTGGTACTGAAATCTGTTTTTGTGCAGAGGGAACACCGGAAGGAGCTCGAGCGGACAGTGGAGGAGATGAAGCAGAAAGAAACTACTGCAGCGAAGAAACAACAGGAGTTAACGGCATGTCTGTCTTTGGATGGCTATGTGGGAGGGAGCCTAAAGAAAGGAAGGGATAGGGCCTATTTTCAGGGGATGGACTGGATAACTGACACAGATTAGAGTAGCATTTACCTCTGGACTTTCTTCTCTCTACCCAAAAGGACAGAGAATCTGCCATTTACAGACTGTTTAGGAGAGGTGGGCATTTCTAATATGTGACAAGTGAAAAGGAATATTGGAAGTTAAACTTCATGAGACGTTGTAGTAAATAGAGCCTTGGGTTAGGAATCACACAGAATAACCCCTACTCCCTTCTTAAAGAGTTTTTGTCAGGGCAGACAAATTAATGATTGTAAAATGAGCTCTACAATTAGAAGATATTATAGTAGTCAAACAAATTTTGTTATAATTAATGTTAGCAATTATCATCATTATAAATTGTTCTGAGCTATGTAATATAGTAATGAAAGCCTAATTGACTAATAATTTCCTATAATATATTGTTGGAAACGAGGCTTCATGGTGATCACAGGTGCCTAGAAGCTCCATTTTCTGAACTGTTGTAAGGATATGAGAACTCCTGATGTGTGGAGAATATCCAGTTATTGGGAATGTAACTCATATCCTCTATGCATCATTCATTCATTCATTCAATCATTATCTAATTGATCATTGAGTACCTACTGTATATAAGATACTGCGTATTTTAGCTTATATAATAAAGAATAGATGCAACAAAGTTTGAAAATCATCAACTCACAGATTAAGTATAGCTCACAGGAATGTTTTATTTGTTCTAGATGGTGTTTTTTTAAAAACTGATTTGGTGACCAACACTTAAAAATGGGAACATTTCCCGTTAAAAGAAATTTGTATTTCCAGCTTCTTGAAAAATCAGAGGCTCTGGCAACATATGAGCCGACACTCCCACCCAGTAGCAGTATCTGGAGCTGAGTAGCTGCTGACCCTTTATATGGGTCATGTGTTCCCCATGTGGCTGCCGTCCTCACTGTTTTGTTGCATCCCACTCCTTCATTCAGTTCCATTACTTGCAAGGCCCCTATTGGCACTTTTGAGTTTGTGACCTCTGATGTAACAAAGAAATCTGCTTTAAATAACCTACAGCCATTCAAAGGTTTGAACCTCCTTGGTTTTCATGGAATACTTTGAAAGATCCAGGGGCTCCCCAGCTGTCTGATAGCAATTCTTTATTCCTTATGCATCCAAAAGTCCCCTAACTCTGAGGACTATGTATTTTAGGCTTCAGGAGCCCAAGAACAAGAAAACAGCAGTGGAGGAGCAGCTAGTACAAGAGGTGGAACGCCTAAAGGCAAAGGTAGAGGCCGGGAAAGCCTGTTTCTTAGAGAAGTGCAAAGAGTGTCAGCGGCTCCACAAATAGATCAGGCAACTCAGGGCTGCCACACGGGTAGGTGACAGAGATGAGGGGCCCAGGAATCAAAGGGTGTGAAGGTTTGTGGCTCCTGGACCAAGCCCAGAGGATTGTACACCCTCATTAAGGAGAATAAACCCTCTGCTAAAAAGAGGGAGTATGGGGCCAGAAACCAGCCTGGAGGTCACCAGAAATAGAGGCCCCAGCTCAGCCATGGGTCTCAGGGAAGGTTTTTATAACCATTGAGCAGGTTTCTGTACAGACTCAGATAGTGCTTTCTTATTTCTGCCTTTTGAGGAAGTGAACCAGGACCAGAAGAGGCAGCAGGAGCCAGTGTGGGTGGGGAGCCAGAGGCCTGCAGTCAGCACTGTCATCGGGTAGCCCCCTTTCGCATTACTACCTTAGGGTCGGCTAGAAGTGCACGGCAGTTTGGGCACCAGCATTCAAATAAAAAATCTTGGAAAGAAACCCACAACTGGTAGGATTAGCTTAAAGTGTTTTTGTGAGGTATTCGCATGTGTGTGTATATAGGCAGGTGTCAGGAAGTGCTGAAGCATGCCTGTGAGTTTTGGCTCCATGAAACTAGTCAGGTGAACCCATCATACTGGGAAGCCCAGGACTGCAGTCTGGGTTCCTTGTAGCCTTGGATAAATGCCTTCCAGGGTTCCTTCTTCCTCAGTGTAACTTGAGTCCACGTGCCTATCTTCACACTGGGAGGGAGTCACACCAGCCTAACTCAGTGCTTCACGCTGTGTTGGGTGAGATGTTTATTCAAGACAAAGATGATTGTTTCCATGGTTGCGTGAGGTTTAAAAAGAGCTCAATTTATCCCTAATTCTGTTAAGCCAGTCTTGAGGTTTCCCCCAAGCTAACTTTTTCTCTCTTTGGTCACTTACTCCCAGCTAAACCAGACGAAACTGGCATCTTGATGCCAGCCCAAGCCTTCAGGCATTTTGTTAAGTCATTTTTCTGTAAGTCAGCATCACCTCCATGGTATCACTCCTCCCTACCCCCATTTCCTTCTCCACCACCTCAGTCCCACCACTTTGGAGAGCCAGATCCTCTATGATCTTGTTTTACCCCACCTTGGATCCAGACTGCAATAGGTGGTCCTAATCCTAATTTTTTTTTTGACAGGACCAGAACTTTGACCTGTCAAAAAGACTGAGTGAGAACAAGATTATATATAATGTTCTGCAGAAAGAGAAAGAGAGAATGGAAGAAGAAAATGATGTAAGTGTGTAAAAGACTTTTTAAGGGAAGGAGCAGGGTGGCCCAGAGATGTGGTGATAACATAAAAAGTTAAACAAAAGAGCCCTTTCTGGGACATTGCATGAGACAGTTGCTCCCAAACAAAGAGTACATTTCATCTGGTGTCCTAATCTACCGCAAAACCCATTCTTTGTTCTGTAACTGAAGCTTGTTTGGCATGGCAGTAGTGACCTTGAAAGGAACAGCCTTGATGAAGATCTGACTTATTATTTTTGCTTTTAACTCCACAGCTATTGTAAGTATTGTCTGTGGGGAGTAATATCCTACATCATTTTTGTGCTAGCTGAGGGACCCTTTTCCTTCAGCACAACTTTTTTCTTTTTCTCTGCTGCCAAACCAGGAGCAGAAGTGGTGGTCTGTACCAGTGCTGGACCCATGGTAGGCCCCAAATAAATACTATGCATTCATTCATTCATCAGTTCATTCTTTCATCCAACCAGTATTTATTTTCTGCTGTATGCTAAACACATTATTATTGATTGATTGAGGATGATGACAGCAAATAAGAAGGTTGAACTTGAAGTCATTCTCACATGCTTGCTGGCATCAAAGAGCAGGTGTCCATGCATTCTGGCTGCTTCTCCGATCTACACCTCCAGCCATTCTCCATCTCTACCCTCTCCATAACCCTTCTGGGCTATGCCTTCAAGTGATCATTTCTACCTTTGATTATATCATTTATGCCAATGTGTTTCAATTTTGCAGAAAGACTTTGGGGTCTGTTTCTGGTCCTGCCATTCTCACCCTCTTGATTTAGTTAGCTGTACCGTGACTTTGAAATAGTCGATGGTGTGGGCTGGGGGTGGGGGAAGGTGTGCAGAAGATGGGGAAGGAAGAATGCACACAACTTGCAGCAAGAAGAAAAAGATCTGATATTTGGAAGCTTTGTTAAGAACTATAGTAAAACCCTCTTAAGATGTTAAGAGGAAATTTACTGATTTTCTTTTTTCTAAGAACTTTAAATGTTGCCTGTCAACCTTGTGGCTTGATCTCGTACATTCTTTCTCTCTCTCGCATTCCCTCCCTCTCTTTGTTCCTCCCTCTCACTCTCTGTTGGCATATCCATTTAATGGGATAAAACATGAAGAGGGAAAATTATATCAGATGAATATTCACACTATGTAAGAAAATTGTTCTAGGAAGGAGACTGAAAAGCATTCTGCCCTCAATAATGTGTAACAATTTCAATCTTAATATAGCTCCCACCACCCTCACATATCCATACAACTTCTGTACCCCCTTCAGTTGGTGTGTATTTAAAGATTTAAAATTCCTTTTTGCATTCATTCTAAACAAAATTCAATACATATTTAAATTCAGATATTAAGAACTCAGATCTTTGGAATACTGAGGCTGCTGCTTCCCCTTTTGAAGAATTATGGTTTATCATTTCTTGGGCTTCTCCAGTGCCACATTGTTAATTGAGAACTACCTGTAATGGGCATCCCTGGCCAGTTCCTTGTGGCAATTTGTTGTTGTCTTTTAACATGTCTCTGTAAATACTCTATCCTTAGCTTTTGAAGATGGAGAACAGCACACTGCTGAGTTACATGGGTCTGAATTATGACTCTTTGCCGTATCAAGCGCCTGCTTCGAATCAAGGAGGTGCAAGACAAAACCCAGGACTTGTCTATGGAAACCCATATTCTGGTAAGACAACTTTGCCATTCGAGCTGGAGGCCCCTGCTTGCATCCCTTTCCTCCAATAATTTTTTTTTTATCTGAAATGCTAATTAAGACCAGCCTCATTGTTAAGACTTGTTGGGCAGAAGCTGAGTACCCAACAGAAACACTGCCAGGCAAGAAGTGTTAATTGAGAAATAAATCTGAATCTAGAAGACACAAATAAGATCATTCGCCTAAAGGCAGCAGACACAAATTGAGTCCCGTGGCTATATTCCAAATATATGAATCAGAGAAATGTCTCTGTGTAGAAGATATACACATCTTAAGCTGAGGAAGCTAATTAAGATTTGGAAATGGAAGCACGAGAGGCGGACTGTGCCACCCAGCATGGGCTGTTAGGCAGCCACCCCCATGGCCTGACCAAGGGTAGCAGGGATGTGCTCGACAGAGACTCCTGAGTGGTTCGGAGGACAGGAAATGGGGTGACAACCAGTCTTGTCATTGAAGGACCCGGGGTCAGATGTCTTTGCCAAACAGGGAACTTTCCTCCTTTTTTGTCACCAAAAGCTATATGAGACCTCATTTGCTTTTTTGCGACAGTTTAAAGCAGTTTGCGGTACGCGGGCCTCTCACTGTTGTGGCCTCTCCCATTGCGGAGCTCAGGCTCAGTGGCCATGGCTCACGGGCCCAGCCGCTCAGTGGCATGTGGGATCTTCCCAGACCGGGGCACGAACCCGTGTCCCCTGCATCGGCAGGCGGACTCTCAACCACTGTGCCACCAGGGAAGCCCAGTCCTGTTCTCTTAACAGTCACAATCTGATCTTTGCAACAGGCAGGGGTACAAGTTTATTTTTCCTTAAAAATATTTTTAAATGTTTCATTTAAAAAATGACTGTGTGGATTTGGTCTTAAAATCTATTCTCAGACTATTTCCGTGTTAAATTGTTACTGTTTTCATTAAAATCTCATTTTCTCCACACTGAAAATAGGTTTATTGTTTTTTTCTGATTATATAATGGCTACTGAAAATGCCACTTCATTATTCTTTCCTCTTTTCCCGCTATCCTTGACCTAGATCCCCTCTATCAAAGTAGATGGTATATATGAGAGCTAAAGAATCAGAAGGGGAAAAATGAGGGTTACAAAAAACAGCTGCTAGAACACAGCTGGAGAATGTATTCTAAGGATGCATTTCATTGAATGAAATCTTTTTTATTACCTTCAGGTATCCAAGAAAGTTCTGCCCCCAGCCTGGTAAGTATTTGATTCATGAGATTGCCCACAGCAAATCTTTGAGAAGATTTCCCTTCCTGCTCCATCCAGTTCACGGGAGAACCGTAGGGAGGCTGGTTCACTGTGATAATCCAAGTCAGCAGGGTCAATTTGGTCAGTGCCGAAAGCTGAGAGAGCCTTTTAGGGCGGGGAGACGAAAACACAGTTCATCCATCAGTGTTCCGCTGAAGATTTTCACCTGTGAATTGAGTTTGGTAGCAGGACTAGGGAGGAGATATGAACCAGGCAGGTAGCCAAACAAGGTATGTCCAGTGCCCCTTCCAGGCAGTATTACGTCCTTCCAATCCTGGGGTTAGAGAATGCCCCAGTGAGTATCTCCAAATGTGAATTTGTTCATTCATCCTCTATTTCTTGATCACCTACCATCTGCCAAGCATGATGCTAGGTGCTGAGGATATAGTAGAAAGTCAGACACAGTCTCTGCTGCATATAGCTTACATTCGGGCTGATCTCTTTGCTCTTCCTCCCAGCTCTCCATCAAGAAATGCCCCACCTGCAAATCAGACTTTCCTGATGACTTGTTTGATCACACCTTGGAGCAGCACATGCAGACCCTTAGTTTGAATTGTCCAATTTGTGACAAGGCCTTCCCAGCAAAAGAGAAGCAGATCTTTGAAGACCATGTGTTGTGCCACACTCTCTAAGTGTCCCAGCCTCTTGGATCTATACTGTACATGGATTTTATAGAGTAGAAGCTTCTACTATGAGTTATGACCCAAGATCCTGCCTAACCTGAATTATTAGGGATTTACTTAGTCCTGCTGCCCTATAGGTGGAGTCATGTCGATTATCTGAAGCATAGTGTTAAGGGCTGTTACTTCCATCCTTGTGGGTTTTAGTACCTTTTAAGTCACATAATTCCAACTGTGTCAGCCTCTCAACTAAAATGCCCATTCTTCCAAGGGTCTCCAGCATAAAGGCCCTGGGATGGAGCTGACCTGGCTGTTCACAGGAGGCCTGACTCGAGTACTAAGTGAGTAGTTTTCCAGGTTGTCCCACTGCCATTCAAGGTCAGGCCTTGAGTGAGTTTGTACTCAGTCCTCAGTCCTAACCCTGGGACTGGCGACTGATCAGAGGTTGAGAATTTCTACCTCCTCCTCAGGCCTCCTTCTCCAACTAATTTAGAATAGTCAAAAAAGGCATGGCAGAGAACGCAGACATCCAATTTGGATACCAAAGTTTTCTCATCTTGATTTCCCAGCTCCCAGCGGAAGCATTCCTGAACAATGGACATGAAATATTATTTCACTCACAGAAAGTCTTTCTCTCTGGATACCTCTGATGCATTTTCTACTCTGGTTTTTTCCTGTGCACATAACTATTATTGTTGTAAGTCCTTTCTTAATGGTTAGTGGGACTTGTTAGAAACTGTATGGGTTTGCAACTTTCTGAGCAGGTGAGTTTGAATATGGATAAGTTAGAATGAGAACTATTGTTAATCACTTTAATACTAAAAATAAACTAGTCCTCTACTTCAGGGACTTTGGTAATTTAAAATAAACCTTGAGTTCATGTTTTTTTATTTTTAAGCTTGTGGGGAAAGTATAATCAAAAGGATTGTCGGAACTATAGACCCCACCAAGGATTTCTCTTCACCTGTCTTAGCTAGTCAACAAAAGAGTGTCCTGGCCATTATCTTGAGGTGGAGAGGGAGGTGACGAAGCATTAGTTTGAGAAATCTGGAGCCCTGAATTTCTTGTTCTAACTTTCTGTGCATTTTTGAAAGGGTGTGGATTTGGGCACCTTTTGTGAACTAATTTCAATTCCCTCCATCCAGATCTGCCTAATTGAACTATAAGAAAGCAATTCCATTTTCTCCACCCCAGGGACTGAACAAATGGAAATGACTTTCAGGCAGTCAGCCAGCTGGTCACTGTAGAAACTTGTACAGAAACTCTTGAATGATGTGAAACATGATTCTGTGCATCAGGTTGAGCCAATTATACCTCTGCATTCCTTCTGTGGTTTTCCCTGATGTGACTGAAGTTAGGCCTTAGACTAACTGTATTGTCCTAGTCACAGCTCCTCACCTTTATTTCTCCTTTGATAAAATGAAGATGAGACTATACTCCCCCTCCTTCTCCCATATCACCATTTCAATATGATGTCTCTTGGACTCATAAGCCTTTGCCCTGTAAGAATCAGATGTGACATTAAGACAAAGTCTAGAATAGAAATATAGGACTTCCCTGGTGGCGCAGTGGTTAAGAATCCGCCTGCCAGTGCAGGGGACAAGGGTTGGATCTCTGGTCCAGGGAGTTCCCACATGCCCAGGAGCAACTAAGCCCGTGTGCCACAACTGCCGAGCCCACACGCCACAACTACTGAAGCCTGCATGCCTAGAGCCCGTGCTCCGCAACAAGAGAAACCACGGTAATGAGAAGCCCGTGCACCGCAACGAAGAGTAGCCCCCACTCACTGCAATTAGAGAAAGCCCACGCGCAGCAACGAAGACCCAACGCAGCCAAAAAATGAATGAATGAATAGAAATATAATGGGGAGACAGTAACACAGTTTTTCTGGCAGATACCCTTCCTGCAAAATTTCTGTTGCTCCCCAGATAGTTCCAGTGAAGAATTGCAGTTTCATTTATTTTATACTAGTCAGCTCTTAATTAAGCACACGAATGGAGAGGAGCAGTGGTGCACATAACCCAAATCAGTGAATACCATTTTCTGGTGAATTACCCACCCCTTTGCCCCTGCTACCCTGAGGGTTACCGTGATTATCAACAGCAGCAGCAGCCCTTCCACAGGCTTGGTACGAAAAAGCAGTTGAGGTGTTAATGATCCTTTTTGCTGGATGTAAAACAAAGCATCTTTAACCACTGTTCATTGTCTCCAGCTGCTCTTACCAAGGCTTTGAAGGGGAAGTTAATGCTCCAGGCATCTACTAGTGGTAAAGGAAACAGTCATTCTTATATAATCCAATCATCACCCCAGCCTTTCCCCACTATACCTCTTACACCCACAGATTTTAAAGCTGTAAAATTCCTGCAAGAAATAACAGCTTGTGGGAGCAAAATGGTATCTACATCTAAATTGGATTTTAGAATCTTTGTACTTATTATGGCAACAAGTTTTCCTTCCTAGTTCATTTTCTTTTTTCTAATAAAATGTTTTTGCGTTACCTTAGCACACTCACTCAGTGGGGAAAAAAGTCACCCTGGCATACATGAGTGTGAGTGGTGAAGGAAAGCTAACCTAAAATCAGAGAAGGGAGAGTTGGCAAGATATTTGGTAAACTTAGACCCCTAAGAACACCTGTAGCTTCAGCCCTTTTGCCTCGTCTTGCTAAAAACTTGGGATGAAATGGAACTGCCTTGATGTTTAAATATGATCCTGTGATTCGAGTGATTTTCTGCAGTGGCTGTGGATTGCACTGAGCTAAGCACTCTCTAACCTGGTCTCCTAGCAACAAATGCTAATGAGATGGTAGGCTGTGGCAAAAAGATGCCGTCCATTACCTAGGGAAAAAAGCAAAATGGACTCAGCATAACATAGAGATCAGACCCGAAGAGATAGCACCTAATTCCCCTGAGTTAACCAACAATAGGCCACAAGCTCGGGGAAATTACACTGAGATCTCCTTAATTGATCTCATATAAATATTAAAATAATGGCTTTACAAGCATGTAGTGCTTTATAGTTTAGAATGCATTTCATATAGTCCATGTATACTTTCAGTAACCCTTTGAAACAGAGAGCTTTTTTAAAATTAATTAATTAATTATTTTTGGCTGCATTGGGTCTTCTTTGCTACGTGCGCGGGCTTACTCTAGTTGCGGTGAGCGGGGGCTGCTCTTCGTTGCGGTGCGCGGGCTTCTCATTGCGGTGGCTTCTCTCATTGTGGAGCACGGGCTCTAGGCGTGCGGGCTTCAGTAGTTGTGGCACGTGGGCTCAGTAGCTGTGGCTCACAGGCTTAGTTGCTCCACAACATGTGGGATCTTCCCAGACCAGGAATCAAACCCTTGTCCCCTGCATTGGCGGGCAGATTCTTAACCACTGCACCACCAGGGAAGTCCCTGCAACAGACAGCTATTAACTCCCATTTTTATAGATGAATAAGATGAAACGTGGAGAAATAACCTGCTAAAAGTGGAAACAACCCAAATGTCCATCAATTGATGAGTGGGTAAATATGGTATAGCCATACAACGGTATATTATTTGGCAATAAAAAGGAACGAAGTGCCGAGATGTCACAACATGGACAAACCTTGAAAACATGCTGTGAAAGAAGCTAGTCCCAGAAGATCACATACTGTATGATTCCATTTATATGAAATGTCCAAAATAAGAAAATATTCTATGGAAATAAAATAGATTAGTGTTTTCCTAGGGCTGGGTGTTGGGGGAAATGGAGAATGACTGCTAATGGGTATGGAGATTCTTTCTGGGGTAAAGAAAATGTTCTAAAATTTACTATAGAGTTGCATAACTGTGTGAATATACTAAATCCCACTGAATTATACACTTAACAGGTGAATTGTATGCTATGTGAGTTATATATCAAGTTGGTATGTTTTTAAAAGGTTAAAAGGATGTCTTTTTTTTTTTTTTTTTTGGCCATGCCATGTGGCATGCGGGATCTTAATTCCCCAACCAGGGATCAAACCTGTGCCCCCTGCATGGAGAGCGTGCAGTCTTCACCACCAGACCGCCAGGGAACTCCCTAGGATGTCTTAAATACAGATACAGAGCAGGTTCAGCATTGTTGACCTTGGTTAAATCACACTTGTCAGTACAACCCCTGCCTCAGCAGTGTTGGGTTCTCCCCCTATCTTGGGCTGGAGGCAGCGCTTCAGTTGTGATTACTAGGGTCAGGCCAATTAATGGTAGCCTACCATCTGGCCAGCAGCATTAGTGGTCTCTGGGAATATCTATTTTGTGGAGATGAATGGACCCAATAAAGTTGGGGTAAAGAGTCACCAGCCCACAAATCCCAGGTAATCATATTAAGGGATCCAGCCTGCTCTGTCTAGTGTTATTACTTTCTCCCTGTGGAAAGAAAGAATATGACACTCCGGGGAACTAAGTCTGTCGTTTACCCAGTCAGTCAACATTTAGTGAGCACCCACAGTGTGCAGAGCTAATACAGGGCCAGGATTTTTTTTTTTTAATAGAAAAGTTCTTCCCTCGAGGGATCTGCAAGATTAATGAAGACGTTCTGTCTGCCCTCTGGGAGCCCTCGAACTGCTGGGGGAGAGATTCTCGGGTTTCAGGGGTCTCCTAATCTGTTGGGGAAATGAGATTAACTGCCCAATTTAAGGATGCAAAGATAAGGGACATCATCTCGCAAACTGAAGACATGAGGGCTATGGGACCTGAGTGTTAATTAAGATGTGAGCAAAGCCCAAGTTAATGATGTCTTATATGAGTGTGCTTCGGAAGAGGTTGAGGGACAAAAATGGCAGACCAAAATGGGGAGGGTGTCCTGAGGGTCTCTACAAAGGGGGAGAGAGAAGCCACTCCAGAATGCAAAAGTAGTAGCATATAAAAAGAAACAAGTTTCTGTCCTGAAAGACACTCCAGTCTAGTTGAATCACATCTAACAAGCTCATTAGAGCTGAAAAGGGACAGGAGGGAGGGTGGCGAAGGGTGTCAGTTTTAAGGATATAGGAGTGTCTCAGAGCCCCAGGCTTAAGATTCCCAGCCCTCAGGGCTAGAGTGCTAGGTGACACAGAGACATCATCCCTTGCCATTTGTTATCCTGCTTCTCTGCCTCTGAGTCAAACGTTCTCTTTCACTCCAGTCTGATTCTCTGCCTCCCAGACTGCATGATGTAAAATGGTTGCTTGCTTATCTGTTTTTAGGCTACTCTGCTTTAAAAAAAAAAGTTTTGAAAGGAAAGGATGGGAATCTCAGTCCAACTCTAGATTCCCTGAGGGAGGGACTTGTTTGGCCTTGCTAGGGTGAACCAGTGCACTCACTCCTTGTTCAGTCAACTGTGGCCAGAATGTTCGGTCACCCTGCACCAACCTGGCAGCTCTGAGTCACTGCAGGGATGGGGAGGGGGGTGCATGGGGAGAGGAGAGTACCAGAGAAGATGGTCTGAGCTGAGCGTGCAACAGATAATTGCAATAATTTATAACAAATGCTGCGGGTGGGAGGATGGGATTCAAATCTGATTAAAAGATGAGTGGCCTTTAGGTGGAGAAAACTGGGGAGGATGCCGTAATAAAGCACAGGATGAGGACTTCCATGGTGGTCCATTGGTTAAGACTGCACTCCCAATGCAGGGGGCCCAGGTTCGATTCCTGGTGAGGGAACTAGATCCTGCATGCTGCAACTAAAAGAGCCCGCATGCCACAGCTAAAATCCCCGCATGCCACAACGAAGGTCCCGCACACGGCAGCAAAGATCCCGCGTGCCACAGCTAAGAACCAGGCACAGCCAAATAAATAAATAAATTTTTTTTTTAAAGGCAAAGGATGGAATACTACCCAGCAATAAAAAGGAGCAAATCTGGCACATGCAATAACTTGACTGAAATCTCCACA